TGTAGCTAAGCTCGGGAAGTTTATTTGACCTCGAGTGTTGCAATTCCTCTATGGCTTTATTGCAGGTGTAAACATGCCGTGCCCATATATTTTGGTGTATCCGCACATATCTAGACTCACGAAATCACCATTAATGTTTTCTATTAATACAGTCGCCTTCTAAGATTTTTATTTAAATCGCACATAAAAAGTCTGAATGTCATTGCATTAGAACAACACAAGCTTCATTTCCAGGCAGAACATTTCATAAACATTTTGTAGCACACTTGCACTGGCATTTAAACATTTTTAAGTGTCACTTAAAATTGTGGCCATATGTAGCCTATATTATATGTTGTACCTAAATAAGGTTCAACCGGAAATTTGATATCACTGATTCAAATCCCTCATAATCACTCTGAGCTATTGTTCCAACCACAACCCAGTCCATTAATTCATTAGGCAAATATTGCATGTTGCATATGACCTGTGGTCATTTAGTATGGAGGTATTTCCCTTGCATCCAGACCTCATCCGCACGGGAATCATAAACTCGTGACTGTGGGTAAGAGCTCTGAATGCTGTCTATGTAAACCAAGCTAGTCTTTATTTGCATCTCACTTTGTTTTTACACACACTCCCTCTCACGGTGCTGTCACATGACTTCATCCTGTTTTGCGGTGCACATCCTGGAAAGAGAAATGAAATTGTGCCTTGTGTGTAGAGTTACTTGATTTCTACATGAGTAAATGTTTATTGTAATTTGAGAGATGACCATCGGCAGCCGGAGGACATAAGCCTATTTGTTCACGGCATGAGAGGGAGTGTCCTAAGCATACATTTTAATGCCACGTCCGTATATTGATGCGAAATTCCCATGTGTTTTGTTGCTGCAGTGTTTCCCACCAGCCTGCTGATTATGTAATATAGTTGTGGCCTATCGTCGAGGAAGAAGGGTTGAAAATGATTTGGTCATTTTGAGATTATCAGCATTTGCAGGTGATCGTTTCTTCTTTGATAAACACAAATGTGTCCGTTGTGAACAGCCAGGTCAAGAGATAATGAGTGACAGGTTAATATGTCAGCCAATATTTGAACATTCTAAAATTAGTTGACAACTAATTCTTCTATAGGAACTGATTCTCTTATCTTATATTAACTCTTTCCCCAGGAGTGTTTTTTGTTTTAAAGTTGCCAGCCACCACCACAATTTTTGATAATTTTTACAAAAGTTTCACCCTCAGTCCTGTAGCTCGTCCTGGGTCGACTTTTTATTCAGTATCATTAGGCAGTTTTGATTTATATGCTGTTTAATGTTGATGATCGCATTATTTTACATATGCATATGATTACATATGATATCGCTTGTTTCTGCATCTTCTTCGCATGTGCTTTTATCCAATAGTAACCGACTGCAGAACCGCAGAACCATACGTCATAGCAGTGTGAGGACGACAGCGCCAGCCTGACAGTCTGATGCCGGAAGTGGGCGTGGCCAGGCATTGCGCTACTTCTGTGTTTTAGAAAGTTTAAAACAATGCTATTATGAATATATTTTTTAACGATTTCATTCAAAATATATATTTAAGAGATAGGCCTATATATATATTAAATATTATAAAATATAATATTTATAAAATTATAAAGTATAATAACTATGTTTTGTCCTATTAACAAAAGACAGGCAATGTAGCCTATTAACAAATGTTAATAGGCTGTTAATAGGCCCCCCCCCCCCTCTGAAATAGTAAAAGCATCACACACTAGCTGTACCTGCTCCAAATAAATAATAGTAATTAAATCAAAATATAAAATCAAAATAAATCAAATAAATAAATTATATAAAACAAAATCAAACCAAAGAAAATAAATCTTATTAAAGTTATGCAGGCACACATTTAACAATAATTCTCAAGTGACAAATAAACTAAATAAATCAAAACTCCATACACATGGAGTTAATTGATGATTTCATGAGGCGCCTTTCGTCATGACACTCGCTTTTATTTTCTTTGGTTTGATTTTGTTTTTTATAATTTATTTTATTTAGTTCGATTTTTTATTTTTATTTAATTACTATTATTTAGCTATTTAGAGCAGGTACATCTGTGTGTGATGCTTTTGCCATTTCAGAGGAAAAAAATAATTGTATTTATTTAATAATTTTTGTTTCAGTCCACCATAGAATTATGTTGTTTGGTCTATGAAAAAAAATTGTTAGTTGTGAAATGGTTGAGTATTAACAAAATAGTTTTTTAAAAGTTAAAATTATACTTTATCCATTTGTTGTGTCAAATGATTAACAATATAAATTGAATAAAGCTTTAAACAAAAATAATAATAAAATTAAAACAAAGCTTGAACATCTGATTGAATTGAAAAGCATTTTTAATAGTAGTATATTGTCTTTTGTTAATAGGACAAATAATTATTATATTTTATAAAATTCGAATATCGTGCAAAAGTTATCATTTTGATAATTATGGCTTACAGATTATGAAAACCCCAAATTTAAAATCTCAGAAAATTAGAATATTACATGAAATCAATACAAAAAAGGATTTTAAATACAGAAATGTCGGTCCTCTGAAAAGTATAATCATGCATATGTTATATATATATACTAAATATATTAGTTTCACCTTTTAATTTGAATTACTGAATTACATGAACTTTTGCACAATATTCTAATTTTTCGAGTTTCACTTGTATACACACAACTATATATATATATATATACACATCTTAAACATATCTTTAATTAAATCGTTTAAACAAATATTTATAATAGCATTGTTTTAAACTTTGAAACGTTCTAAAACACAGAAGTAGCGCAATGCCTGGCCACGCCCACTTCCGGCATCAGACTGTCAGGCTGGCGCTGTCGTCCTCACACTGCTATGACGTATGGTTCTGCGGTTCTGCAGTCGGACCTTTCTCCTTTTATCAGGAGATTCAGTACTCTTTCAGACGATGTGTCGTAGCGCCCCCTACCGTATAACAGAGAAAACACAGAAAATGACGTGTTTGGCTGGGAAAGAGTTAACTGATTCTTGAATTAACATGTTGTGTAAATGTGCTATCAGTGTGTGTGTTTGTGTGTGTGTGTGTGTGTGTGTGTTTAAACCATGACAACTCTCAAAAATAGTTTTAACATGTAATTGAATATGGCAATATTAATGTATTTAGTCTTTGCGGACTAGATCTGCTATGCTGTTGATTATTGCTGTTGCTGCAGAGCAAGTGTGGACTTGCTATTCCCCATAGATACACAGAAACGCTGCAGTGAGCATGTAAGATATGTGGCTGCTGCATAAAAAGACATACATAAATCCCGTAGCAGATCTAGACAGGTGGAGCTGGGGAGGTGGAGGGATTCAGAGGAACTCTGATAGCACTGTAGGACTAGCTTACAGCAAACACTGAACCAGATTAGTTAAATGTTGAGCAAGCAATCTCATTGGCTGCAGGATCAGCAGAGGCCAATCAGCTTGTGCCAGCCGTAATGATGTGATTGCTTGCAGATCTCGGCCAAAAAGCTGCGCTTGAACACACCAAAAGGACAGAAGGCTACTGTATGTGCATTCAGGGCCTGCGTGTTAAGTAAATATGTCTATATCAGCAGTTATCAATAGTCTATTTCTGTCATTCAAAAAGGGAAACCGAGGCTAGGACTGCAGATATACACAACGTAAACAAAGCAGTGACTGCTTACCATTTTGAATATCAATCACGCTGATCGCTTTCTTCATTCCAGTCGGCTCATGTTATTATGAAAATATTTGTGCATTTGAATGCTCAGGTAAGATGACGTAAAATTCAAACAGTCTTAAGTCTTTGCTCGCTATCATCACTTTTGCTTTTCTGTCTCTCATCGACGGTCCGACGCCGATTCAACATGCTGAATCGGCCCTAAAAACCCAGACAGCGTCGGACTAGAGCCAACGGTGCAGAACACACCAAAAAAAGCCGAACCAACG